CCGGTCCCCTGCCCACGCAACCACCACTAGGGGGGGCAGCGGGAGAGCAGGGCTGGGTGGGGGGCGGGGGCTGCAACAGCAAATCCCCCTGCATACCATGGCCAGGGGGGTCTGCCAGGGCTGGGGGGCACAGTGTAGTGTGTGCTGAGGTGGGGAGCCATCCCAGGGTGGGATGGAGGACACAGGGTGTGGGGTGGGGGGCACGGGTTTGGGGGGCTCGGTCCTGCCCCACAGCCGCTCACCTGGCACATCTCTCTCTGCACAGCTCGGCAGCACCCCCGACCTGGACAGGCTCGTCTCCCCAGCCCCCCGTGCAGCCCCCATCCTGCCCGGCTGCACCCCAGCACGGCACTGGGGGGGCTGGAGCTGATCCTGCACCCCCGGCCACAGAGGACACACGGGGACAGTGGCGTGGCCATCCCACAGAGCTGTGACAGACGGGCGCCAGGGAAGGGCTCCTCATTAAAGCTGCTGAACCCCAACTCCCCGACTCCTTACTGCGGGACCCCGCTCGCTGCCCCACGGGCACCCCCACACAGTGCCATGGGCACCCCCACACACAGCCACCCACTGCCTCCGGGACAGTGTCCCCACTCAGCCCACCCCACAGCTTGGGGATGTCCCCAGAGCTGGGGTGACATAGGGGATCCCCACCCGGGGGCTTCCCTGGCCCCACCAACCGATGGAAGGGCAGCTTCCACCCTGTGCCCAAACTAGTCCCTGTGGGACCTGGGTAGCCCACGGGGGACACTCCTCAGGGTGGGGGCGCAGCTGCTGGCACCCCGTCTTGCCCCAACCCCACAGTGCCCAGCCCGGAGGGGAACACGGGGAGGCCCCCCAGACCCAAGGGGACGGGGCACAGGGCGGGGGGGATGGGTCCCAGCAGGAGAGCTCGCACCCAGCCGTCAGACAGAGGGGCCGGGGGGGGCTGGCGTCGGCAAAGCCCCCAGAGCCACTTAGCACCAGGCTCCTAATGGCCCAGGGGGGCTCTGCGTCCCCGGCCCCTGCCCTGTGCCCACCGCGGGGTCCCAGGCACTTCCTGCCTCGGCCCAGGCCGGCATGTGCCCCCCACCCCCCCCCCTGGGGTGACATAGGGGATCCCCACCCGGGGGCTTCCCTGGCCCCACCAACCGATGGAAGGGCAGCTTCCACCCTGTGCCCAAACTAGTCCCTGTGGGACCTGGGTAACCCATGGGGGACACTCCTCAGGGTGGGGGGGCAGCTGCTGGCACCCCATCTTGCCCCAACCCCACAGTGCCCAGCCTGGAGGGGAACACGGGGAGGCCCCCCAGACCCAAGGGGACGGGGCACAGGGCAGGGGGGATGGGTCCCAGCAGGAGAGCTCGCACCCAGCCGTCAGACAGAAGGGCCGGGGGGGGCTGGCGTCGGCAAAGCACCCAGAGCCACTTAGCACCAGGCTCCTAATGGCCCAGGGGGGCTCTGCGTCCCCGGCCCCTGCCCTGTGCCCACCGCGGGGTCCCAGGCGCTTCCTGCCTCGGCCCAGGCCGGCATGTGCCCCCCACCCCCCCCCAGCACCCCAGGCCACCGGTGGGAGCTGCCGTGCAAGTCTTTATTATTTACACCCCCCCAAGCCTTGCACGAGCCTGCAGAGCCCAGCGCCGCTCCGGGCAGCTGAGGGCAGCGGGACCCCCCACCAGCCCGGAGCCCCCCATCCCCGCCCCGTTGCCCATCATACAGGCGCCAGGCCTTGCCCATGGGCAACAGCCCCCACACCTCATGGGCACCGAAGGACCGGCCGGGGCTGGCCCGGGGGGCACCAGGAGGGAGTGTGTGGGGCTGGAGAGTGTGGAGTGAGTGGAGCTGGGGAGTGGGTGAGAGTCCAGCCCCGTGGCCATGGGGTCCGTGAGCTCCAGTTCAGCCCCCATCAGCCCGTCCTGTGCCAGCTGGCCCCGTGGCCAGGTCGGGAGGGTGGGTGGTGGCCAAGGGGGCAGGGTTAGGCGGCGGGAGCCGTGGCCTGCTCCTGGAACCAGGCCAGCACCGTCCCCTGGTTCTCCTTCACCCAGTTGATGTTGGCACGGGTCCTCTCCAGCGCCTGCTCCAGCGCCCGCGTCCCCGACCCGAACCCCACGTCCTGGTTGTCCGCCTTGAACTGCTCCAGCTGCCAGGGAGGAGAGGGGCTGTGGTGGGTGCGGGGCATCCCGGCAGCCCCCTGGAAGCCCCTCGTCGACACCACCCCAGCAGCCCCCCGCCGACAGCACCCCAGCAGCCCCCAGCAGCACCATGGCTGCCCGGACCCCTGGGCAGGAGCTGCCGGCAAAGGGCAAGGCATTGGCAGCCCAGAGCCGTGTCCCCCAACTCCTGCCAGGACTGGGGGTCCCTGGTGCCCGGTCGGGGGTCCAGCCTCACCTGCTGCAGCTCAAACTCGGAGGAAAACCTCTGGGTCACCGCCAAAATCAGCCGGGAGAAGGAGAAGGAGCCGCCCCCATACCTGGGAGAGCACAGGGACGGCTGAGCCAAGGGGGGCACGGGCAGAACAGCACCCTCCCAAAGGGGGCACAGGCAGATGGGGGATGCTGCCCACCCCAGCCAGCCCCCCACAGCCCCCCGCAGGGTACTCACTGGCTGAAGAGCTTCTTCCAGTTGCTGCGGATGAAGTCCCAGGCCAAGGGCTGCCCCACCACATTGCTGGCGATGCTGTTGATGGTGGCGGTGGCATCCTGCTTGCGGATCTTTGTGGGGTCAAGGGTGTACTGCAGGTACCTGGAGGGGGGCACACACCGCTGGGTGAGGGGCCGGCAGGGGCACAGCCACATTTCCCCCCCCCCCCCC